ACCACTCACAGCTAGGGGGTCTCGTCTACCCTGCTATTTAATGTCTAGCTGCCAGGAGAACGGTTTGACTAATGCCGTTCGCCCGAGCCTTTTACACGAAGATGAACGCAACTGACGAGGAACCGATTTGAACTCGCCTCGCCAATTCCATTTTCGACGCCGATAACCGTTACAATCTCCGCAGACAACATCGTTATCTCTTGAAACACTTATTCCCGTACGATCACCGAAGTTAAGTAACGTCAAAATTGGTCAGAACCAAGATGGGTGATCCCTTGACAATATCAGATGCTGTAAGCTTAGATGTCGGGTGGTGTAATGGATAATGGCTCGGAATTCTTAATCGGAGTGTGGAGTTCCAATTCCAGTTGGGTTCGTAATATTCACTTACGAGCAAATACCCATGAGAAAGGCATGAATCCAACTCTTCTCCCGCGGATATGGGTTAATTTTTAAGACTTGTATCATTAAACCATTAAAGCCATATCTCGAGGCTCAGGGTTGCACATTAAGTATCTCGGGGCAGCAATATAGGACCGTAATGAGTGGAAAGGGATTGTCAATGGAGTCCCGACCAACAATAGGGAGGTTGAAGGATTATGACGATGATGATATATACATCTATTTCTCATTTTTGATATAGAACAGTTTATTGCAAAAACTACTTGCTTTAAATGACTTTTCTCTCAACATTGTCAGCATTTTTGGTTTCACACTCTCTTTGATATCGCTATTGCCTTGGCTTCGGAAAAATTATTCTCAGTTGAGCACTTTTGCAGATTTTTGTTTTAGTTTGATCAATTTTTCACAGCATTCATTACTGCTATTATTATACCCCCTGAGAAGTTGATGGAATAATTCCCAGAGGTTAAGTCTTGCAAAATTCTGGAGTCAGGATGCTGAAGTGACAAACAGCTAAGTGACAAAACCTTTTACATGTATTAATTATATATGCAGGTTGATTCAAAAGTCTATGTCACATTCTAAGAACTCTTATATTTTGAAGTGATTCAAAAGCTAAAAGTGTCAAGTTTTCTTCTGTTATTTTAATTTAAAACTTGGACTTCAATTTTACATAGAAATGCTAGAGACGTTGGAAAAAGATGGATTTGGTTAGTGGCAAAGTTAACAAGCATAACACATGCAGATGAGGAACTGAAAAACCTTCATGTAACCATTGAGTATGTATTCTGTGTCAAAGAAATGAGTGTAAGGATTATTCTTCTTTGATGAAGGAACACTCAATGGGGAAGCATAGTATTACCAGTATTAATTACATTTACCGGCCTGAATATTAATATTATATGTAATGGATTAAATCCAACAAATATTTTAATCGAATGATGATGATGATGATGATGATGATGATGATGATGATGATGATGATGAAAACCATTATTATCTTTTTAAAAAAAAGAGTAAAAAATAAAATAAAATTGCGTGCAAAATATTTAGATTTTGGCGTTAAATAACCCATAGAGATTGATATACCGTTAAACAAAATACAACCAACAACCAACCAAATTTTCCAATCACCAAACAATTTTTTGTTCAGTTACTCATCGCCCACCCAACAGCTGAAGACGGCCAACGGTGGGTGATATCGCCCGTTTTGTGAAACACAAAAACAACTAACCAAACTATCGTTTTATGAAATTGAAAGACGAGGATTTGCGCTGCAATATTCTCTTGGAATGGTCAACATTCGTATATTCAGAAAGAATTTTCTTTTAACAATGCCCGTTCAAATTCAAATTCAAATTCTTCAAATTTCTTCAAAGACTTCAAATTCCTGACGAGTCTGTTGAAATCCTTTTCTCCCTAATGTCCTTTGGCAAAAGCATGAATCTGTGAACCCTCACCAGGCCAGCAAGGTGGATAAATAGAGGCGTAAACCTCATTAGAAACCCGTTTAAAAGCTGAAAACCATGGAAAATAGCTTAGTAACTCATTTCACGCATGGCAATGGAAAAACAATAGCAGGAACTTGTGAAGAGTCATGATTGCAGCTTATGTATGATGCCACGTTAGTAGAAAGAAACAATGCAGTTATTAATAAGAAGAGATGAAATTCCAGAGCTCCGTCATCACTCCTTCATAGTCAGTCTATGAACTTTTCAGCCCACTCTTGTACCTGGAAAGAAACGATGCAGTTTTTAATAAGAAGATTTTAAATTAATGCATGCAAGATTTCACAGTTCTAGCATCACTCCTTCATAGTCAGCCTATGAACTTTTCAGCCTTCCCTCGTACCTAGAAAGAAACAATACAGTTATTATTAAGAAGAGTTTAAGTTAATGCATGCAAGATTTCACAGTTCTAGCATCATTCCTTCATAGTCAGCTTATGAACTTTTCAGCCCACCCTTGTATGTATGAAGATTAACTGTATCCAATTGGTTTTAAATGTTCTAAATTTACCGTTTCTTTCAGTCGTAATTTATCGAATAAGTAGAAATGTTGAAAACATTTGCTAATAGATGCTACCGACGGTATGTGTGAAGTCTCTACTCGCAGCCATTCGACAGAAAATGCCTAAATGAAATATTAGAATTAATGTATTAACCCAGTCTAGTGTTCCTCTTTAAATGAATCGCTTACGCTCGACATTACTGCCACCGTCTTATCGGTTTTAATTCAAGGGCTAATTTACATCTCTTAAAAACGTTAAAACCTGTTTTGAGCATGACGGCAAGATTTTATTTTAAATCATTTCACTCTAAGCAAGGCAATAATGCCCCTAAGACTCAGGGGATTATAGGAAGTGAAATAGAATTGGAAACTTTTGGTGAGGGGAAATGAGAAAAAGGACAATAGAGAATGGTATTCAGGAAACCGGAAGATGGCGATTGGCGTTGGATTTAAATTTTTGAAGATTGTAAATGGAAGGAAAGCAAGAAATTGGCAGGCCGTACCAAAAGTGCAAGAGAAAAAAATATTAGAATATAAAAGTAGCATCAAACTAGTTCAAGAGTAAAAGAGACCTAATTGCCAATCTAGTATCCCGCTTAAATTCATGCGGTCGAGGCACCAAGTAGGAAACCTCTTCAGAACAACCGCTATGAAAATATTTTAGAAAAGACAGAGGGAAGCCACGTCATGGTGGTGGGAAAGTGACTGCAGTCGAGATGCAAAGTCAGGATTAACGTCCTGGGTGAATGGATTAACGATATCCGCATCCTGGGTAAGACGATAAACTACATCAGAAAGAAAGACCTCTGATCAAGAAGTTATGAGGAGCGTGGGACCACCTCTTAATTGATGGTGGTCCCAGAGCTGTTCTGACCCAGGGAGGTAGCACCTGTTAGGGACCCAATTATGAGCAAATAAGTAACCCACAAACTGGGGTCAAAACGTGAAAAAATAGGTTTTAATACCAGCAATGAATTTTTGAAGAAAAATTATTACCAGCTATACATTACTATCAGCAATACATTTTCGAAGAAAATAAAAATTACCAGCAATACATTTTTGAAAAAAGTATTACCAGCAATACATTTTTGAAAATAAAAATAAAAGTATTAACAGCAATACATTTTTGGAAAAAATATTACCGGCAATAAAAATCTTGTCGACATTAAATAACCCATTGAGGTTGATATGCCATAAAAGAAAATGAATCAAAACAAAGAATACATATTCTATTCATACGGACCTATTCTAAAAATCTTGTCGGCATTAAACAACCCGTTGAGGTTGATATGCCGTAAAAGAAAATGAATCAGACTAAAGAATACATATTCTATTCATACGAACTTATTCTAAAAATCCTGCCGGCATTAAATAACCCATTGAGGTTGATATGCCGTAAAAGAAAATGAATCAAACCAAAGAATACATATTCTATTCATACGAACCTATTCTAAAAATCTTGTCGGCATTAAATAACCCATTGAGGTTGATATGCCGTAAAAGAAAATGAATCAAATCAAAGAATACATATTCTATTCATACGAACATACTTTAAAAATCTTTGTCGGCATTAAATAACCCATTGAGGTTGATATGCTGTAAAAGAAAATGAATAAAAGCAAAGAATACATATTCTATTGATACGAACATATCCTAAAAATCTTGTCGGCATTAAATAACCCATTGAGGTTGATATGCCGTAAAAGAAAATGAATCAAAGCAAAGAATACATATTCTATTGATACGAACTTATCCTAAAACTCTTGTCGGCATTAAATAACCCATTGAGGTTGATATGCCGTAAAAGAAAATGAATAAAAGCAAAGAATACATATTCTATTGATACGAACCTATCCTAAAACTCTTGTCGGCATTAAATAACCCATTGAGGTTGATATGCCGTAAAAGAAAATGAATAAAAGCAAAGAATACATATTCTATTGATACGAACCTATCCCAAAAATCTTGTCGGCATTAAATAACCCATTGAGGTTGATATGCCGTAAAAGAAAATGAATAAAAGCAAAGAATACATATTCTATTGATACGAACCTATCCCAAAAATCTTGTCGGCATTAAATAACCCATTGAGGTTGATATGCCCAAAAAAAAAATGAATCAAACAAAGGAAAACATATTCTCTTCATATGTCAGTATTAAATAACCTATTTAGGTTGAGATGTTGTAAAACAAAACAAAATAAACCAAACCCAACCAGGATCAAGTTTCGCAAAATGAACCTGTTGAACCTCGTTCCGAATTTATGCGAATTCAAGCAAAGAGGTACAACTGTAAAGGCTCACATTAGGATCGAACTCAACAGAGTTATAATCGTTTAGAACTTTTTTCCGATGTTAGATGTTCGAATTGTGAACATTTTATGAAAAGTAGATTTTTGTTTTTAGTGACGGTAATAATTTACGACGTTTAGAAAGTAAAAAAACTGTGGCAAATATTGTCGGGCTCAATCCTTATCAAGTAAGATCTTGATGAAACATGTGGAAACGCTCCACAGGGAATCGAATCCCGGCTTTCACTTGACTTTGAGGAGCAGGCGATTATGAATATAAGGCCCATAATAGGTTTCGAATGCACCCGGTAAGGAGAGAGAAGCCTTTCTTGTTTATAGGATTGTGTCAGGATTGTGACATTGAAAAAAACTGCGTAAATCTTTGAAAAAGGAGAGTAGTGCGCCACATCGAAAATTGTATCGGAATTTTTGAGAAGAGGAATTATCATTATTAACACTCGGACTATTGTCCGCATCACCGCTGTTGTTATCAAAACGTTTCGGCAATTGTGAACTCCGGCCTTCATCAGGTGTATGACGATCCAGGTAACCTACATCTATCTATCTATCTATCTATCTATCTATCTATCTATCTATCTCTTATACATACATACGTATATGTATATATATATATATATATATATATATATAATTATTCCTTATTATTCTTTATACATGCATTATTATTATATAATTATCCCTTATACATGCATACGCATATATATATATATATATATATATATATATATATATATATATATAATTATTCATTTAAAATTATTATATAAACATGTTATAATATGTTTTTTGTTATAATTTTTAATAATATTTGCTTTACTCTGTATTGACCACTCTTTTATGAATAGTATTTTTGGTTATTTTGGTTTTTTATATATATATATATATATATATATATATATATATATATATATATATATATATATTTCTATCGATGTGATACGAAGAAAAAAAAAAAACGTTTATTTTGTTTTACCGCATATCAACCTCAATGAGTTATTTAATGCCGACTAAAATTTTATTTCTGGTAATATATTTACATCAAAAATGTATAGCCCGTAATACATTATTTTTTTATTTTTCAAAAATGTATTGCTGGCAATGAATATTTTTTATAAAATATTTCTGGTAATAAACCCTATGTTTACATAGTGTTTTGACACCAGTTTTGGGGCTAACTATTTACCCATAGTTGGGACACTAGCAGGTGTTACCAACGCGGGTCAGGGTGGACCTGAGAACACCATCAAATAAGACGTGGTTCTACGCTCCCCAAAACCTTCTAATCGGAGGCCCTTGCTGTTGAGCGTAGTTTATCTTCTTACCGAGGACGCAGGAATAAAAAAAAAAACTATCAATGTAACTTTATGTTGGATTCCGATTCATATTTTAACTGTATGTGATCACAATTCATACATATATATATATATATATATATATATATATATATATATATATAATGGACTCTCCCGTCGGTTTCGACGTATGGGGATCTGACTGCTTATTGATTCAGTTATGAAAGTTTACGCGATAATCTTAAGTGGCATTTAAGACCCGCTGGTGATTTAAAAAGGAGACTAAATATGGTGCAAGTGTGAGGATTGTGAAATGAGATCACTGTTAGATTGGCTGACCTTTTAGATCTTGCTCTCGCTTCTTGAAGATGATTCAGACAAGCAGATTGAAAATTGCTGAGTCCACTAAAATACGTTGATCTCCATTCTAGCCGCTCCAAAGCTAAGCGCTCAAGGGTGTTATGTGGTATATTGACTGCTGACAAGTTGCTTTTCAGCTTGTCTTTGTATCTTAGCCATGGGCGTCCTACATTCCTGTAGCCCTGATCTAACTGGCTGTACATTTGGATGTTGGGTATCCTGTCATTAGACATTCTCAAGACATGACCAGTCCACCGTGACTGTATGATAAAAGTCTCGGTTCCTTCAATATTACACCTGTTAAAACACACACACACACACACACACACACACACACACATATATATATATATATATATATATATATATATATATAGTATTATTCGTTTGGCAAACCTCGAATAGCTCAAATTGCAGTAGAACAAATCGGTACCCGAGGAAAAAATTGGAAATAAAAAAAGAGAAAAAAAATTAACATTAACAAAATACAGAAACAATCGTCACGTGCATAAGCTGCAAGTTCAAAGAAAAAAAACCCAAACAAGTAGAAAGACTAAAACGTTGAGTGCTCAATACGGTAAATAGAGCGATAAACTAAAATAATCCGAAAGAGCCAGGCAAACCTACCTAGGTTTCATCTAAACAGATCTTCAGGGTAAAGCTTTTAGTTTTACATTATTTACATTATTCGGACTATTGTCCTCATCTTTTTCGACATATCTATCACAACGTTTCGGCCGCTGTACGCTCCAGCCTTCTTCAGGTGGTTGGAATGTCGAACTGAACCCTTTATTTCGCTCACTGGGGTAGACTGTTCTAGTTCCACGTGCCATGTTTGATGGATGTCAGTTATCAGTTATCTCCTGTTAATTTCCCTCTGAAAGTTCTCCACTGCCCCCACCGGGTATTGAACTCATACTTTTTAGGACCTGTTACTGGATCTAACCAACGCAATGATTGAAATTTCAAGTCAAGAACTCGGATTTTGAATAATGATATTCAAGGCTGGCAAACCATAAAGAAAAATAGCTCTAGAGACTGACGCAACATAATCATCCACATCATTTTTCGTCCCCTTTAACTTTGTGTACATTTTAGTTCGACGTCATCTTTTTTCATATACTTTTTGTTTATGTGTGATAGAAATATTCAGCGCAACGGATTTCTTGTTTTCACAACTAAGCGATATTTTTCAGCTATTCGAAAAACGAAATTGTTTGATTCATCTGTTGTGGAAAAATGGATTCATTTTAACCAACCAGTCGTTACTAATCGATAATGGTGATTACGGTCGAGTTTCTGTCGAGGAATCTCGAACCAGATCGCTGTCACGCGTTTGAAGTGGCGCTAATCTGAATTAATTACGTCTGATCGAATTGACTTAATCGAATTTTTCAAAGACCAAACTTTATTTGGCCATCCGTGACTTGATACCTTTCCTGTCTGTCGGGAGGTGGTTTGTTCCTACGAATTTTAGTTGTCTGGCGAATTCTGATTGGCTATAAAATACTACGGTGAGAGGGTTGAACATTCTCTCGCTCCGTCACTCTCTCTTTCTCTGTATATATATATATATATATATATATATATATATATATATAAATATATATATATATAATAAGACAGAAATGTAACATTCACACTTTTTGAAGGGCCGAATACAGAGACCTGGTGATCTAATGCCACAAGGCCCCCAAACCACCTCCGCAGGTTTTGAATTCAAAGTTGTCCTTCTCCTAGACCAGTTGCCATCCAAGGCGATAGAACCCAGTCTGCCCTGCTATTTACCCATAGCTGTAGGGAGAAGAAGAGGATCCACACCTTTCCCAAGGGTATTAGCACGTCTGTTTTATGCTAGACGCAATCGTCAGATTGCGTCTAGCATGAAACAGACTGTCGCCTCTAAGTGTTGACTTCAATGTTCACTTTTATATATATATATATATATATATAATTATTTTTATAAAAAAAATTATAACATAAGTATGTTATAAAATCACTACAAAAATAGCCATTTTGTTTCAACACACTCTGTGTCTTATCAAGTGATGATGTTAAAAATTCAACATCATCACTTGATAAGATACTTATAATATTTTTTATAAAAAATAATTATATCTGCTCTACTTTGTATTGAGCACTCTTTTAAGAATAGTAATTTTTGGTTATTGAAATTCATTCCGTATATACCAATTATATACTTGTATATATATATATATATATATATATATATATATATTAGATTCTGCAGTATATATATTATATGATAAAGATTTACGAAAATCCATCCACAGTACGAAATTCTGTGAATAAAAAAACTCCTAACACATTTTACTCTGTTAATTGGATTATACTTTAGTCCTCGACACTTAAACTGAAAAAACACATACAGCAAAAACATTCGTGGATTTACCACATTACTAAATTCAAACAAAATTTACGCTTGAATTATTTAAACTAGAATTTTGTATATATATATATATATATATATATATATATATATATATATATATATTAGATTCTGCAGTATATATATTATATGATATAACTCTCAATAAAGAGCATATATTTTTTTTAAAAATCATCTTTCGGTCTACAATACATTTATTTCGTCAAGGAGTTCACTTGTAAATGGAAAATTACGCCCTGAGGTTGAAAATGTGAAAAATGTACACGTCTCAGTAGCATCAAATAGATTTGGCAACTATTTAAACATATGGATCGAATTATTCAATGAATTGTTAATAAGTCAATGCCTTATTGTTAGCGAAGAGATTTCGCCATTAATTACATTAACATTGCTAGTTAATTCTTTGTATGATTACCTCTTTATGATATATATATATATATATATATATATATATATATATATATGTTTCATTAAATAATATAGACAAGTGTTGTCAATTTATCTTATGTAAATTCTTTTCATAACGTCTGATTTGCTTAATAACATTATCATTAAACAAAGAAAGAAAATCACAATATTGATACATATTTTTTAATCCAATCTAAGCATTCGGCTTACATAAGCCATTATCAAAGATGACAATTACTGTACACACACACACAATATATATATATATATATATATATATATATAGGGGAAATTGTATAACAAATTGTTAAAGTATTATTGTGACGCTTATCGTTCTTTTGGAGTTCATCAGACGAAATGAGCCACAAGAAAACGTCTTAACAATTTTTTAAAATTTTGACAAACGGAAACGTTTCATGGAATAGATTTGATTGAAATTAGATTTGATTACTCGTTTCGCCTTTCTAGGCTTCATCAGATCCATAAACGAAAGAAAGAAATGTCCGTGTGTGTGTGTGTGTGTGTGTGTGTGTGTGTGTGTGTGTGTGTGTGTGTGTGTGTGTGCTTAAATAAGGGAATGTTAGGACTTTCCCTAAGCTGGCGTTTTTCCTGATTAAAGAAGAAAGAAAAAGATTCACTTATTAAAAAGTCGTTAACATCTATTCTTCTATTTTTTTTTACAATTCTTAGTTCGAAAAAAATATATATGTATATCTCAGACAAAAGCGTATATATATGTATATATATATATATATATATATATATACATATATATATATATTATTCCTTTATTATAATTTTATCATATAGACAAAACCATTTTACTCACTACAAAGATGCAACTTGGTTTCAGTGCAATTCAACTGTACTTCGACAGGTGAGAATCGATTCTCACCCGTGGAAATGCAGTTAAAATTCACTGAAAGCAAGTTGCATCTTTATGATAAAATAAAATATAATGAAGGAATAATTATCCGCCTCTACTATCGGTATCGAGCCCTCTTTTGAATTAATGCTGTGAACGTTAGAATTTATATATTACTTTCGCTCTCATCGCATCGGATATATATATATATATATATATATATATATATATATATATATATATATATATATATATATATATATATAAATTAGGATATAGAATACCGGAAAATTTTTTAAATTCTGATAAATGGAAACGTTTCATGAAATCGATGTGATTGAAAATAGATTTGATCCCGGTTTTCGCTATTCAAGACTTCATCAGATCTCAAAGCGAAAGAATGAAATGTGTAGATATGTCTGCTTGAATTGTGAATCTTAGGATTTTCCCTAAGCTAACGTTTCTCATGATTAATGAAGAAAGAAAATGTGTGTCTTTTTAAAAAGTCGTTATTATTTATTCTGGTATCTTTTTTTCTTTTTTTAAATTCTTAGTTCGATTCGAAAGTTGATAATTTATTTTCCCAAGTTTTTTTTTTATCGAATTTAATTGAATCCTCTTCTCATTACCAGAATAGCGTGAAACCAAGAAATTCTTTTCGCCTTTTCTGAAATGAATCCATGGCAAATCCTCAAAGAATCCTTCAGAATGGATTGAAATTAAACCATTTTTTTTCTATCCATGCGCTTTTCGTGTCGTCTGGATGTTTTAAATTTGGATATAGATATCCGGATATATATATATATATATATATATATATATATATATATATATATATATAACATGAATCTTTCATACAAAAAGTAGATTAGTAAAGTTAATGATATAAATGGCGAAAAACATCTTCGCAAACAAGTTTTTTAAAGTTGCATTAACTTACGAATCACTCGATGAATGTTATGATCCTCGTTTTTAATAACTTCAAGTTGTATAAGGTCTTTTTTTTTTTAAATCTGCTAGTACTTTCGGTTGTACATACAGCCATCCTCAGGCATGGAAATTATTTTGTTTTTAAGTAGATCCGGGTAATAGCGGACACCTTAAATTAAATGCGAATCGAAATATGTTTTTTTAGAAATGTGTTATTGTTAACGGATAAAAACTTATGGAGCGTGCAGTCGCAACGCTAAGGTTGATTTTTTTTTTTTTTTTAATTTAAGAAAGTGCGTTTTTTACTAATATGGTAATTTGAGAATTTTTTTGTTGTAGGAATTTATCAGTGAATGTGGCATAAACTAAATTGTTCAATAAATATATATATATAGATAGATAGATAGATAGATAGATAGATAGATAGATAGATAGAAAGTGCTCATTGAAGTCAAAGGCGACTGTCAAACGCGATCGTCCCGTCAAGTCATCGCGTTTAGCATGGAACAGAGTGCCGCCTCTGGGTGTTGACTTCAGTGTTCACTTTTATATTTATACTAGCAGTAAAGCCCAGGGAATGTAATAGTAAGAGATAGATTAAGTATCGACCATCATAAAGACTGAAAAATAAAATTGACAAAGATTATTGTTTAAGGTTGACGGACACGCATATCTTAATTAGTTTCTTTTTTGTTTTTTTACGAATTGGTCAAACCCAAACTCAAACAAAAACATTGTTTTCAATCGTTATGAGTCTACCGATTGAATAGAATTTTATTATAAACAATTGTCTTGTAAATGGAATTTTTAAAGCATTCTGAATGTAAAAATAAAGAAAAAAGTGTGCAAGACAATAAGAAACACTACCTGCCAAAAAAAGTTTTTGTTGAAATCGGTTGAAAAAATGTAGGAAATCCGATCCCATATATAAACGAACACACACACACACACACACACACACACACACACACACACACACACACACACACACACACACACACAGGGTTTTATAATGAGTATAACTCGATATGAGTTGTCCCTCTTTCATTCTCGCGACAGCAATGCCTCTTAATCGTGTTTTTAAATTGATTTCGTTCAAAAAACAATTGTGTTTTTCCAATTTTTGGCGCTGTTAGAACCACTGCAAGGTAATTTTCCGTAGCCCTGTGAAGTTTTGTTGAAATCGGTTGAAAAATGTAGGAAATCCGATCCAATATATAAACGAACAGACACACACACACACACACACACACACAAAAACACACACACACACAAACACACACACACACAAACACACACACAACCTGGGTTTTATAATAAGTATGATTATACGATCTACTCCTAATATTGAGCCTTTATTCCACGAAAATGGCATAAATTAAACCTATATTTTATCCCATGTGTAATTCGACAAATATGACAAACTGGAAAGGTTTTATTTGTGACGCGTTTCATTCGTTAAGATTTCATCGGATTAGGCTTTGTTGATATTGCTACGTCTACACATGCGTAG